ATGACATTTGGCATTGAAGGAAAGCAATGGACCTATATAGGAATGAGGTAAGGCTCAACTTTGGAGTTCAGAGATCTGTGAGAGAGTACCCCTAATGGGAAGATTTGAAGGGACGATTTCTATCCCTCTCCTCTCCCACAGACATATGATGATTGGTCATATTTTGTTCAGTTTTAATCCCTGAAAGGGGGTGGTGTGGACAGGATGAGAGGTATACTGTTTGGAGACTGCATCATGGGTGATTGAGGGAAATTTGGGAGAAGATGGAGAGGACTGTTCTGGAATCAACATAGGAAAGTCTTAGCCTTGAGAAAGTACTTTCATGGTTCAGTGGTACTTTACTTTCCTGCACAGAAGTAGATAGCAACATTCTTACTTGGCTATGGTATGTATTTGTCCAGAAATGTTACTGGCTAAAATGCAATTCATTTGTATCCATGAGTTCTATATTTGATGTCTCATGTAAAGAGAAATTTTATGGGAGAGGACTTAACTTAGGTCAATAGTGGAAGAGTACACACTATTGAAAAATTTCTAGGGGTAGTTTGTGATAGAGGACTTCTAGGAACCTGAGGGACAAATGGGAACCTTTGACTTCTCACAGAGACAAGGTATTTTTTTTAACCTGGGCAGTTCTCCTGGCAGATTCTAGGCAGGGTAGGAGCAGTTCACATATTTGGATGGAAAACTCTTCAGTAGCAGAGAAAGATGCCCAGCTTTGTGAGCAAATCATGGTACCCTGAAGCAAGACAGGAAAGTTCTTTGGGGATGTTTGGAAGTCTACTCTTTGTTCAAAGATATGGTGATGCAGGTGGATTAGTTTGACTTCCTTAGCTGTCATTTTTTTGGGGGGGGGAGCTTTAGCCAATGTGAGCATTGTAATTTTGGTGTACTGTTTATATTTCCCCAGTTCATTCTGCACCTAAATGCTCTACCACTGAGCTACACCCCATCTTTCTCCAGTTCATCCTAAGAAGGCTGTGGAAGGCAAGTATTTTTGTTTGTTTTTTTGTTTGCTTTATGTGTGTGCATGGAAGTGGCTAAGGTTTGGTCGGTCAGTGTATGTTAAAGGGAAGACCTAGCCTGATGATTCAAGGAATTTACATCTTCCATATATAGCAAGATTCAGACATCCCCTATCCTAGAAAATTTTTGGTGGGAAAAACATTGTGCTTTTGTGGTTTGTGCCATTTCCTAGGTCCCAACTAAGGAAATGGCATAGGCCATAGTAGCACATACAATAATAATTAGCTTTGGATGAGCATCAATATCAAATGTGAAAGTGATGTTTTCCCCCACAGGGACCAGTTTAAGCTGGTATAGGGGGCACTAAATCCCTGAGGAACTAAAAAATACTGGGGGGGGGCTTTTCTCAGTAGGGTTCTTACAAATGACATACCCAGTCTTTTATCTTGAAACTTGAAAAGGTTCTTTCTTACTCAGCTCAAGTCATTAAAACAGCATTCCCTGGCCTGGGAAAATTCTAAGATGATGGCTCTGTGGAAAGGGTAAGTGTGGTTTAAACAATGAATAAGAAGTCTCTGTGCCATGCCTATTTTCTGCTTTCAGCCCAAGTGAAGCTGAGGCATAATGCCAGTATTCAGTATGTCCATATTTAGACCTTAGATTCACTGAGTGGTGTTTATCTGCATGGTCCTGGTTTGCATTGAAAAATAGAAGCTTCTGGGAATCTTTAGGCTTTAAGATGGAGATTTAGATCAAAACAAAGGGTCCTCCCAATACAGGTAGTGGGAATCCCAAAGGAGTCTGCCATTATCAATGGTGAGAAGCTTCACAATCAGACATAGGACCTCTTTTCATCCCTCTCTTATTTTCCTGGTATGCCAGAGTATTAGTTGTGCTGGCCTTAGAGAGCCACCCTCATGTGAGTAGAATGGAGGCAGCACGTGTACTGTGAGAACTAAATACAAATAATTTGAAGATGTCCAATGAGACATGTTGGCCCAGACAAAAGAGAACCTGAAAAACCATGCCATTCCTTCTGTGTCAATGTTGGTGGGATAGGGGTAGGAGTATACAGATATGGACCTTGTCTCATGCCCTTCAGTAACTGGTAAAGACTATGAAATGGAGATGAGACATATATTTTGTGAAGTAATATATATTATACAAGAAACTACACCAGTACATTCACTCTCTCATAAAAAAAAAAAAAATGGGATCTACTCTCTATTATGTCTACCCTTGGAGACCCTAAGTATAAACAAAGGTATCACTTATCTTCACATTTGACTACAGGGTATCGGGGAAACAAGAATATTTTTCTGAGAGAACACAATCATTTTGGCAGAGAAAGCCACATTAAAGTTGAATAACTCTCTTAATTTAGAGAAACAACAACAACAAACAGACACATACACACACACACACACAAATAAATAAATAAAACGGAGCCCACACCATTTCTTGTCTTGCTTTGAACACCAAGAAGTGTTGTTTTAATTCAATACTGGAAAGAAGATGCCATAAGTCCTTAATTCCCCTCCATCTAATCCTGTGAGAGTGTATGAAGGTGTTCATGGATTGTCCTTAACATTTTTTTTTTCTGAGATGTGTTCTAAAGGAGGTTGTGATCTTTAAAAAGCTACATAGATGATCAGAGGAGCACCTAGCTCTGCCTGGAGTGAAGTTTACAGCCACCAACAACTACTGAGGAATGTTTATTCTATCATTTTTCCCTTTCTTTGGAAAGATTGGTCCTATAGAATCTCAGTAGTCACGGTTCTCAGCCATTCAATGATAATAGTTCTACCAGGACCTGAATGTCTAGAATTACTCTGGGTAGTATGCCTTGGTTTGATGTTGAAACTATAGGTGAACAGAATGTGGGACAAGGCCACCAACAGTAAATATTAATCTCCTGAAGCAGAACTATCTCCCTCAGAGTTATCAACCCGAGTTAGAGATCACTAGACTCAATACAGTTTTTTTTTTTATCTTTTCTAGGGTGTTCCAGAGAAATAAATTAAAACTTCATTAGTAACATATAAGAGCACAGGAAGGTGTCCTAGATTTAACAAGAACTGACACTGAGAGAAGTCATATGTTAACCTCCAACCCATATAGAAAAGGCCTCACAGAAACTCCACATCAGTCTGTAGAGGAGTGGTTCTCAAACTTCATAATGCTTATACCCTTTAATACAATGCCTCATGTTGTGGTAGTCCCTAACCATAAAGTTATTTCATTGCTATTCCATAACTGTAAGTTTGATACTGTTATGAAACAACTGCCGTGGAAGCTATGGTAAGAAATATCCTGATGTGTATGTTCACATACCCTCCATAAGATGAATGAGTATCTTTGAGAAGTAAGGACATGATTTCATGAGACAGACTATGTCAGTTGATTGAAGGGGGCTGCAAAAACATGGAATAATATTATGAGTTGTGCTGAGAGTAGCCCTGAAGTATCAAGTAGTGAACTTGACGCTTTACAGTAATGAATACCTGTAGTATAACTTCATTTTTATCTTGTAAATGTCATGGACGACAGAACACTGGCCTGATAGAAATACAGTTCCTGAGCTGAGACAGAAATCCACATCTTCAACAGTTGTCAAGGTAAGGACATTTGGGAGCTCCAAACTCCTTACTAACTTAGAAAGATGGGGCCACAAAGTCTGTCTCCCATTCTCAGCCAAGGCACAACACATGCAGGGAAGCAAGATTTGTATTCTTCTTTTTGTCTCTCCCAGAAGATGGGAGGAGATGGCTCAGAGAAGTGAGATTTTGATCCTATTGGACAATATCGAAAGAAGATACCCTGGAATGTAGGAAGATAAATATGATGATTGAACACCAAGGGAACTTTCATTGCAGATGAAATAGAACCCAGCTTCTGCTATAAGCCTTGAAAACTTTTAATTGTTGTCTTTATTCTTAGAGAAAGTACTGGTCTGAAGAGATACAGTCTGAAGAGGAGGAACATTAGTGATTTGAAAAAGGATTCCTGGATTTTTTTAGGAATTAAGGTAAGGACTATGACTGAGGACTGAGTACTCAGTGTCCAATTTTAGAGCTGAATACATGTTCATCCACTCTTTGTTATCCAGCCAGGTGTTGGAATCCTTGAGGGGCCTTGGTTATACTTGGCACAACCTTAATTCAATCTTGATACTTTCAAAGAATAGAGGGCTTTGTGTTAGGTTATACCAGTGCCAGCAGATATATTAGTATCAGACTATAAAAGGTACCATTGTTATAAATAATGGAATCTCACACTTACAAGTGATGGGATACTAAATGTGTTTGGTCAGCTGTTATTGTCACCTCAGTGATATTCACAAAATTTATGATTAGAGATAGTATACCTTTACTTTCTCCTGTTTGTGTCAAGAACATGAGACCTTGTTTTGTGAGTTTACCATGTCTTTAGTGGAAGAATCAAACTCATATCTCTCAAAGGGAAAGGATAGTATACAAAAAATTATGCATCTCAGAATTCCAAGTATCTTACAGTCTCGATCCATCTGTCAGCTTCAAGTCACCATGGCTGTGCTTACAGCCCTCAGCATCAGATGACCCTCTATTCTAAATACAGTGGTACCAGGAACTATAGTGAACACATTGGTTTCAAATCAACAAGAAGAATAGACTCATGAAATGTCAAAAGTTAAGGTGAAATGCACAACCTGAGAGTAGCCATCAAGTACACACAAGTACAGGGGAACTAACAAGGTACTGGGTCCCACATATTTTACCATGAATATTAACATCTAATGATCTGTCAGTTAGCTTTGTACCTAAAGGAACTTTCCTAAATTTTTACAGGTCTCTAGAAGGTAGACAACCAGAATACCAATATATCAGTAAGGCTCAATGAAATCACCTATAGAAAATAATTGTGTATCCGTTTTTGTTAGAACAATAAATGATGTAATTTTCAGCTCTTTAAACTCATATTGTGCATCTTTTTTTAGCAGGTGTTTTGGACTTCATCACAAACACTCCTGATCTCCAACTCTAATAAGAGTCATCATGCCTCCCTATAGAAAACGCCCACGTCTCAATTTTGAGGAAGAGTTACTAGAGTCTAACAAAACACAGGAATTGCTAGCTTCAGAAGATCATTCAAATGAAGAAGAGGATAAAAATAAGGAGAGCAAAGAGGAAGATATAGTAGTAGTAAAAGACGAGAAGGACATGATAATAATGGTGGAAGATGAGGAGGAGGTGATAGTGGTGGAAGATGATAAAGAAGATAATGTAATGGTAGCGGAAGATGAAGAAGAAGTGTTGGAAGTTGAGGGTCAAGACGAGGTGGTAGTTGTGGAAGATGAGGATGATGATGTGACATTTGTAGAGAGGAAGGATAAAGAAGAGATAGTGGTTGTCGAAGATGATGATGAAGTAATAGTGGAAGGGAAGGAGAAAATAAAGGAAGAAGAGAAAGAAGAGGAGGGGGAGAAAGAAGAAAATGAGGAAAATGAAACTGAAGAGGAGGAGGAACATGCTAAGGGGACCTCTTTCATTTCAACTTTCTCTTTAAAGGGCTCCATCCCCTCCACATTTTCTATGATTCAGGGTACTCCAGGTAAAGAAGAAGGACACACTTCCCATATGGTGAGTGCTTCTCAGAGTCCTCAAAGCACTCACCCTGCTTCTATTTCATATATCTATTCATATGAAGACTCTAGTATCCAAGAAGAGGAAGTAGAAGGAGGAGAAAAAGAGGAGGAGGGTGAAGAAGAGGAAGAGGAGGAGGATAAGGAAGAAGAGGAGGAAGAGGAGGATGAGGAAGAAGAAGAGGAGGAAGAGGATGTGGAAGAAGAGGAGGAGGAAGAGGACAATTTCCCCTTGCAGGTGATAGACAGCAAATCCTTATGGGAAAAGTTCCAAAACAAAAATGTGACTGACTTAGTGAATTTAATGATCCTCAAATATAGAATGAAGGAACCCATAACAAAAGCAGAAATGCTCGAAGTTGTCACAGACAAGGACAAGAAACAATTCCCTATGATCTTCAAGGAAGCTTCTAATTGCTTGGACATTATTTTTGGCATTGAAGTAAAGGAAAATGATCTTGTAAGCCACTCTTTTGTCCTCAGAAACTCACTGAACCTCACATATGAAGATGATAACCAGAGAAAGCCCACAAATGGCTTCCTGATACTTATCCTGGGTGTGGTATTCATGGAAGAGAATTGTGCCTCTGAAGAAAGCATCTGGAAATTCCTGAATATAATGGGAGTGTATGATGGAGAAGAGCATTTCATCTATGGCGACCCCACAAAGCTCCTGACTGGTACTTTTATAGAGCAAAATTACCTGGAGTATCATCAGGTACCTAACTGTGATCCTCCACGCTATGTGTTCCAGTGGGGACCAAGAGCCTATGCTGAAACCACCAAGATGAAAGTTCTGGAATTCTTGGCCAAAGTCACAGGTAGAGATCCTATTTCTTTCTCATTATGGTATGAGGAGGCATTCAGAGATGATGCAGAGCAAAGATCTAATAGAAGAGTCTCTAAGAGTAGTGCTACACAGAAGCCCATTTCACAGAATGAATCAGCACTTATTGCTGCCCAAAGTGAAGAATCCATGGCTGAGTCTGTTTCTGAAGAGAACAGGCATAATTGAATTAAGGGAGGAACAAGGTCAGTCTGAAGATAAAACACTGTGTGAGAACATTGTGGTATTATTCTACATGGTGATTAGTAGTCGTATTACTCCCCCTCTTTTTTATATTTGTATACTATGAGCTTTAGAATCTACATTTATATGATTTTGGTAACATTCATTACTGTTTATCAAGGTTTGAGCAAACTATAGCAAAATATTTTGTAGTTTGTCTCTTTATTCCTTTAATAATTTGTGTGTATTCTATGAGTTGAAATGCTATGTACACAGGTATGTTTAGTGTATGTAACAAAGTGTGAAAAACAAATTATTTCATATTAATAAAATTTTTTCTCACATCTGATTTACTTTATTTATACTTTTCAAAATTTTATTGTACATCCTGACCCCTTACCTCTCTCCTCTCAACCCCTATGCTCGCAACCCCTGCCCCTACATCCCCTTTGGTCTTCCTCAATCCACTCCTCTGTTTCTATTTAGAAACGGGCAGGCCTCCTGTGGATATTGACGAAACATGGCCAGCCATATTAAGATATAGTAAGATTAAGCACCTCGCTTGTATTAAGGCTGGGAAAGACAAACTAGTATAAGGAGCAGGGTTCCAAATGCCAGAAAAAAGAGTCAGAGACAGCCTCTGCTCTCCCTGCTACTAATCCCACAAGAAGATCAAGCTACATAACTGCCACATATATGCAGAGGGCCAAGGCCAATCCTTTGCAGACTCTTTGAATATTGGTTCAGTCCCTGTGAGTTCCTATGAGCTCAGGATATTTGATTCTTTTTTTTCTATTATTTTTTATTTTACATATTGATCCCAGTTCCCTCTCCCTCCCTCCCTCCCTCTAACCCTCACTGCCCCATCACATGCATCCTGACCACCCTCCCCTCCCATCCCCCCACCCCAATTCCACATATAGTGCAATGCCATCCAGGTGGGGTCATGTAAATCTGTCAAGTCATTTGAAGTAGGGGCTAGGACTTTTCTCCTGTTTCTAGGTTTAGGCAGTTATCCCTCCATGGGGGATGTGCCCTCAAGGTCCTTTTGTGCACCAGGAATACATCCTGGTTCCACTGTCTGAGGTCCCTTTGACTGCTCAGGCCTAGCTGAGACCCATTTTTCAAGGGGTCTGAGTCATTCACATGCTGGATTCCCAGTTATCAGTCTGGGGGCCAGTTAGCTCCTCCTTGTTCAGGTCAGCTGTCTCTATGTGTTTCTGTAAACTGGTCAGAATGGATAAAGAAGATGTGGCACATCTACACAATGAAATACTACTCTGCAGAAAAAAAAAATAATGGAATCTTGAAATTCGTAGGCAAGTGGATGGCACTTGAAGAAACCATCCTGAATGAGGTAACCCAGTCACAAAAAGAGAAGCATAGTATATACTTGCTCATATATGGATTTTAGACATAGAACAAAGGATCAACAGCCTATAATTCACACTGCCAGAGGAACTAGGATACAAGGTATATTCTAAGAGATTCATGTAAAGTTCCTTACAGAAGGGGGAAGGGACAAGTCCCCCAGACCACATGGGAATTGCGAAGGGCCAGTGAATGGAGAGAGAAGTAGGAGAAAGAGAGAAGGGGAGGAGAGGAAAGCATTGCAACTAGGAAGAGTGAGTCTGGATAGGAATAGAAGACAGAAGAGAGAGAGAGAATGAGAGAAAGAGAGAGAGAGAGAGAGAGAGAGAGAGAGAGAGAGAGAGAGAGAGAGAGGTAAAAGGGAGCCTTTATTGGTTTGAAGATAAAACTGAAACTAAGGAAAGGTCTAGAGACCTACAAGATTGCAGCCAAATAACAATTTGAGCAACCATGGAAAGGCTACCATAAATGCTCTTCCCGGATAGTGAGATCAACAACTAACTTATTCACCATCATGAAGCCCTCATCTAGTACCTGTTGGAAACAGAAACAAACACACATAACTAAACACTGAGTCTAACTAGAATCCAGATGCAGAGGTTATTTGATTCTTTTGGTTTTCTTGTGATGTATTGAGTTATGATACTGTATATGTATTTGGCCCATTCCACTTGTCAGAATGTCTCCTTAATTTTAGTTAGGTTATTGCATTTTTAAATTACATCTTTATTTCAGCTTCAGTTCTACTCAATATATCTATTTTTAATTTAATTTGTTTTTTCAGTTCTAGATTGTGTTCATCATTTCCATCAACCTTATGAATTATTTTCTTGAGCCTTATTCTAACATTATTATTATTCTCCCTCCCTCTTACCCTCTCCCCCCCCTCACTTGCACCCTGACCACTTTCCACTCCCATTCCACATGTAGTGCTATGCCATCCAGGTGGGGTCATGTAAATCTGTCAGTGGATGTTCCCTATTCAAATGATTTAATTTAAAAAAAATCTCCACAGTTATACCTAACCTATTTGCTTTTTTGTGAATTCCAGACATTGTCAAGTTGAACATCAAGAATAGCCATCACAAAGCTTCCTGTGTGCACTCACAGATGTTTAATATTCACAGGGGCAAGATGGAACACAGTTAATTCTGTGGGGTCCTACAAGAATCTGTCTATAATATGAAAGTTATTCTTGCACTGAAAAAGTAAAAGATAAACTTACAGTTTCTTGTGGAATCCTAAAGAATTGACTCTGGCACATTTTGACTTAAGGTCAGAGAATTTAAACCTACTCTTGATCTTTCAAGGTTAAATGACACTCCAGCCCTATGAAAGCTGGTTGTTGAGTTCCAATAAGATTGCCCCCAAATACTATTATTATTGCTCTTTTTGTACATAGGGTTTTATGTAGGTTTATGTAGGTTTTATGTGCTGGACTGGAACTTGATATATATATATATATATATATACATATATATATATATATATATATATGTATGTATGTATGTTGACATATTTGAACTCCTGATCCTCCTTACTGTTCTACACGAAAGCTGTAACCCAGTCATGTGCTACCATGCCAAGGTTATATGATGCTATAAATCTAATGCGTGATTTATTCATGTTAGACAAGGTTTCTAAAATCTGAAACATATATCTCCATCTCACAGCATGTGTCTTACTATAATAAAATAGAAATCAGTAACTTACACAAAGAAATCACATGACTTGCAGTTAAATAACTGGGAAGTTAATAAAGAAATCAATATTGTATTGAAAATAAGTCGATCTTAAAATTTCAATAATCAGCCTTGCTACTTGTGCTTAAGGTAATGGCATTCTTAGGTAAACAAGTCATAGCTAATAATAGTAACATTCAGATTGAAAAAATAAACAGAAGCATACACACACAGAATTTCCTTTTCTTAGGGATATCTATATATCACTTAATATTTTACTCAATAACATATATTTATAAACTAATTAATTAGTTTTAGTACAAAAACTAACACATAAAAGTTAGCCTGTCTCTTTACAAGCACTAAATATTTGAGAAGATGTATATCTTAAAAGAAATAGATGCTTAAAACTATACAACTGTGATAACAGAAATGAAAGAAGACAAATAAATGAAAAATAATGCAACTATATGGAAAATAGAGTGAATTACTCAATAAACAACAAATATGATGAAACTATAATTTGACCAATCAGCTATACTTTTTAATGCACATAGCAAAGAAATGAAACCAATGTAGTATCAAATTGATTTGCATATATATATATATATATATATATATATATATATATGCCAAGAGCCATATACATATAATGCATATATGAAATCTTCTAGATGTATTCTAAGCCATTATAGTTGAACTTATAAAAGAAGTAAAATCTCATTATTTATGAAACATGAATGTATGAAGAGAATTTTCGATGAATTGATGAATAACATGAACTAGGCACAAGATTTCTCATATTCTGTTATGTTATTCATATATGAAAAATAAAATCTATAGCTAAGGCAACTACACAGTAAAGCATTATTTAGTAGAGGGTCAGTTGGAGGGATGAGGAAAGGGAGGAAATGCAGCCTGAAGAAAAACCTACAACTATTATGCTCCTAAATAGGTACAGTATGAAACCAACCCCTCATAATTTATCAGTGTACCCTTAGCTCAATGTATTTTCCAAACTTTTTCTGAGATCCTTCTCTTCACAGCAAATGATGAGTACAGAAACCCACAACTGGAGCCAAAGTGCAGAAAATTTGAAACCACTGAAAGATTGGCTGTAAGGTGAAATATGTACAACACTTTCCTTCTCTTAGATTGGGGAACATTGAAGGAGAGGAGGAAAAAGAATGTGAGAGCAAGAGGTGGTAAAATAGTATAAGGAAGAAGATTTTGGACACACTAAGGCAGTCAGATATATTAACTCATATTAGTTCTAATAGCATGCACAAGATCTGTATAATCTTAAGACTAAATCCCAAGATGAATATTTAAGGAAGGTATGAATGAACTCTCAACACACATAAAAAAATCTATTGGTAATTAATAACTGCTAGGGGAGGAGAATTAATTTTCTTAAAGAGTACAGCACCTGGTAGTCGACCATGTACCAGAGTAACCCTCCACAACCAAGAATATATGGATAGTAAAAAAATCAGAATTGATGGGTATCTTTTAAAAAGTAAACAAAATTGCTGAATAGCGAAAGGAAACTGGTTCTGTAAGAAGTTGGAGATAAGGCAATGGATATAATCAAAACATTGCATGAAATTTTGAAAGAACTAATAACACATCATCAAGTAATATTTCATTTAATTTAAAATATAGTAAATGATTATTATGAAAAAAATTGTGTAAATACTTTTGAAAAAATTGAATAGTTTATGTAATAATATAAAATTCTAAAAGTAACAGAAGAAGCAATTTTTAAAGCATAATTAGACAAGTAACAATTAAAACTCTGAAGTTGTAATCAAAAATGCCTCATTATAAAACAACAACTCCAGGTTAAACTGAACTTCTGTTTTCAACCATGACAGAATAATTGTCCCTGAATTTTTCCCTTACCAAGAATATATTTAAACTGACAAAATAATATCAGAAGCAAACATTTTG